TACAAGATTGTTGCGATATTTCCCATCTGCAGGATTGTGATTTCCATTACCAACGACTGTACCCATTCCTCATTATGAAGCTTATAACTAACTTGGTTACTGTAAGTTGTCTTTTGCAATGTAAGTATAATATGATTAGGATGTATGAATAAAATATAAACCATATCTAAGTACCACTAAAAAAAAGAAACCTGTGCTAATGCCAGTTGGTCGACCCACCTCAGTTAACCGAAGCTGTTCGTCAGACAACTCCATCCGCATGCGTCTCGCTTCCTTATCCTTGTCGGGCAAACGATCTCGTATGCGCGATACAAAAAGTCATTCTCTAGCTCGAGAAAAGGACGAGCGGCGCCTCGCCCGATTGACGGTATAAAAGCAAGAGTGAAGTAAACAACCGACTTAGCGTGGGAATCACCAAAATGACGGGCAACGGTGACGATATCTTTCTACAGCTGATGTTGCTCGCAATCTTCTTTCGGCGATCGGGTTATATGTCATTTTTTCGGATAGCCTGGAGGTATCTGAAGGAGAACGCCGGACGATGTGCGTTATTTTGGCTGATTCTAGGTGAGGGGCGGAGGAATTCTTGGTGGCAGAACTGAATTAACAGTTTTGGGTTGGCCGTTGTTGCAATGGGACGAAAAGCTGTCGACAAGCTGAGGTTTGTGCTCAGACGGGGAAGAGGAGGAAAGGGGATTTTGGCGAAGAGTTTTGAGTGTAGACGATACCTCTAGAAAAGCATGAATGTAGATATTAATCTAGCAAGCTAAGGATTATTAAAAACTGTACAATATTCCTGTTCTGTGATAACTGGACTCCCTCCTAAGTGAGATATAAGGGCAAAGAAGTGAATTTGACTTCTGATGCCAGTATGATTGTGCGAAAAACAAACCAGGGCAGTTCTCCATTACGATCATCAGTGGGTGCTCGTGTACGGCTACGCCAAGAATCCGGACCACGTGCTTGTGCTCGTATCGCCGCATCAAGCGTGCTTCCTTCATGAATTTCAAGCGGGCATCGCGAGTGGCCTCCTGGCGCATCGTTTTCACAGCAACTTCCAATTTTTCCGACCCGGACGAATATTCCGCCAGGAAGACCTTAAATTAGGTTCATCATTAATGAACTGGAATTGCTTCATTCTTGCTGGTGCATGTTACGGGATTCGCTTAAACAGACTGATGAACTTTTTTTTTCTTTCGAGTGCCCTTTTTGCGTGGCAAATAATGTTTTGGTGATTTCGATGAGAACTGC